TTTTGGAGAGATTTTTGCTATAGGGCGCGTGTGCTCGCCAGACAGACAGAGACATAGAGACAGAAAGTGAGAAATCACCCCCCAGGGAGGATGGTCACGCCACAATCTCTTCTTCTCCATTTTCCTCTTGGGATTTTGGGCACACACGCACACGTGCCCGGCAACATTTCCCATCTTTTGAAAGCCACTCTAATTGTTCTCATAAGTAGACAGAGGTGAGAGTAGAAAATGGGATATCAAAGGGAAAGATGTTAATCTCCAGTATATTTTCAAACTGCACTGAATTTTTACTGAAGTCTTTCCATTCTCAGGAAAACCGTTTCTCAATTCAAAAAAAAAAACGTTTTAAGCCTCTCTATTACTATTTCGATGGGGGTGGGGGAATGCATGCTAAAGAAAGAGGAAGTTAATCACCTCTTTAATTTTTAGAAGAATTAACAGTATATCCTCTCAGACCACATAGGAGAAAAGGCCTCCTTTTACCCGCCCCTTGAATTTTCCGAGCTTATACTGAACCATAAGGGAGGAAGTGCTTTGAAGCATCACAAAAGAATACTATATAAACCATCTTTGCAATGACCTTTACTCCTGGTTTATGAAGTTCAAGAATTAAGTACTTTTAATATTTTATATCTCACATTATTTTTATGTAATAAAATATTTTTTCCAAAGTAAAAAAGTAAAATTGTTTTTTACTATTTAAGTAAGGAAAGTGGGACAAAAAGAGCTTCCATAGTTAACGCTCATCATATGGTCATTTTCTTGCCTTGTTAATTAAAAAGAAAGCATTACACTGACATTATTTTAAAATATCTAAAAATACACTATTTCTTAATTCAAAGACAAATATTGGACCAGCTCTGGGGTGCAGAGAGAGCATGCTGCTTGGAAGAAGCTGGATCCCACATGGTGACAGTGTCCAACTCCTGACCTGGCCAGCCTGAAGCAAACTGGGTTCACGCACAAGTGTCCAGGATCCAATGGGCTGGGAAACTGGATGAAGGGGATCACAGCGTGACCAGAACTCATGGAGGGTACACATCTCTCTTGTTTTCTCTGTTAGTCAGTCTCGTGTGCATGTGTACACACTGTATCATGAATAATCACATTTTTTTTCAAACTAAGGCCAAGTAATATAATGAAATGAACATAGGTATTAAAAAAATAGTAAGTCCAAGTGTTTTCTGGTCACTTAACCAGCTGTGTGGACTCAGACCAGAGACAGACTATCTGTCCTCAGTTTCCTCCTATGCACTTAGGGTTTCGTACCTTACGAAATGCTTTGACATTCATTTTACTTCATCCTAACCGTGGCTCTGTAAAGCAGGTTGTTATTCATTTTGAAGACAGGGAAACTGAGACTGAGCAAAGTTGACTTGGCACAGGGCTCACTTGTTGGGTGGATCCCAGAAGTCCTCAACCAGATAAACTCTTTAAGATCACTTTCAATTCAAAAAGGTATACCCTGCTTTGCCCAAGGAAATACAATTGATGAAATGTAATCCATCACTACGCATTTAAAGCAAAATGTTCGATACTCACTCCCTCATGTTTCCCAGTTGGTATATTTTTGACATATTCTTACCGTCCAGGGAGTAGCTTTGCAATTTCTGCCCATCTGTTCCCCAGTCTCTTGTGTGCTTGGTAAATAATTCTATCTTCTTCTTCTGTCCAGGAGGTTTTCTTAACTTCTGGATTCAAGTGATTATGCCACCTCTCTCTACATTGTTTTCCAATTCTCCCTTTTAAGTGCTTGGCAATAACAGACCAACGTTTTGGACCATATTTCTGTACAAGCTCAATCACCTTCAGATAAACACACAAAAATAACCTGTGTTTTAATGTTATGTAACGAGTCAGTGTAATCATTCTTCAGAGTTAGACGATCTTCGGAAAATTTCTAAAATTCTGCCATCATTAATTGGAAATATGGGGATAGAGTCCATTAATTGGAAATATGGGAATAGAGTCCTTTACTTCCAGTTTGCACATGTGTCCTACTTCTTCAAAGTGGAAAACACTCAAAAAATATGTTTTGGGAATTTCTTAATTATGATCCACATGCCAATGAACAAAACTTACTCTCTGATCTTCTTCTTTGGTCCAAGGACCCTTGATGAGTTCAGGGTTCAGTACTTTCTGCCATCGGTGTTGGCACTGTACATCTGTCCGATTCTAGACAAGTAAAGTATGCATCATAAAGATATAATAAACAAGTGAAGACTTTATGACAATGAATTATATATAGACAATATTCAGTGAAAGCATTTCAGAACATTTAAGGGCATGTTTCGAGAGCCTTCCAGTCTCTCCTAACTTCCAGGCTAGAGAACATGCAAAGAACATACCAAAGTTGCATCTAAAATCAGAAGCTCTGCCTCTGAGAAAAATAGCCCTGCCACACGAACTATGAAACATCGTACGCAACGGGTGCCTGTCAGTTTAACTTTACCTTATCTTCAGTCTGTTGCATGTGGAAGTACCCGGCTGGCCTAAGACTTGCAGTTTCTATTTCAGGCTTTTATGGACAACTACTCTAAATGAATAGAGTTTGCTTCCCATTCAGATTCAGAGAAGTGCTTCAATTTAGGGCCACAGTACTTATAGAGTGAAAAACCAAGTTGAATAAAAGCTAGTCCCCACCCTGTAGAAGCTTGTTACCTTATACAAAGGGAAAGACAAATACATAATTAACCCTAACAGTAGGCTTTATTGATTCATCTGCAAGAAAGAAAATCAAAGCAAAATGATATGGAGGTAAGCGCACAAGCATCTCCTTAGGAGGAAAAATTGTTTTCTTAGGAGTCCAGAAAAGCTCTTGATACGGACTCTGAAGGATAGTCAGAACTTCAAATGGTGAAGTAAAGGGAGAACATTCAAGGAGACAGGATCACCAGGAACAATAGCTCAGAGGACGGAAAGCAGAAATGAAGGCCAACGAAGCTGCTCATTGGGAGGAAAATAGGAAGAGAACTGGAGCTGTAGGTTGGGGCCAAAGAAGAGGGCCTTCCTGTGTGAGGCTGGGCAGTTTACTGAATCTGTGAAAGTCTGTCATCCCTCTCAGTTTGGGAAAGATAAGGTACATCTGCATTCTAGAAAGGCCCATAGGCCTATGGCGTTTGGGATAGATGGAAACATGGAAAGTTACAAGTGGAGACGGCAGTTAGGAAGACACTGACATAGGCCAGATGAGAGGGAAGGAGGCTTAATCTGTGGCACGCCATGAGCATAAAAAGGAAGGGACTAACTATCAGTCCCAAGGAATCCATGTCTCATAGTAACTGCTTGAATTTAGGGGATGACAGAATGGAATAACTCAAAAGAGACTCCAGAATTTTAAATCCAGGTGCCAAAATTATGGCTAGTAACAAGAAAACGGAATTTAGATGAAGCTAACTTGAAGAAAAAAAGCAAGTTTAAGCATCTACCTTGTAACAGATCATCAAAATGCTAATTTATACTATCTTAACACATAAAAATACAATACAAGAAGCAATTGTTTAAAAAATATTGTCAAAATTCCCTAAATAATCTATATAAAAATTCTGATTATATGTATTATTATATAAAATATAAGTTATAGATGGGGCATCTTTCCTTCTGCTTCTTATATGTGGGCAAATATATAATCTTTTTAAAGATTTATTTTATTTAATTTCATTTATTTATTTATTTATTTTAAAATTTTGATCAGAGAGGAACAGAGTGAGACAGATTGAGAGAGAAACAGAGAGAGAGAGAGAAAGAGAAAGCAAGCTGCCAGGGCCAGGACTCGAACTGCAGTTGGCCATGATGGAGTCAGGCACCATGCCACCTGCCGGCCCCACAAATACGTAAAATATTAGTAAACCTTTTCTAAAATATTTTATTGAAATCTTTGGGAGAAGTTTTTCTCTTATGAAAAAAAAAATTACTAACTTACCGGAAGATAATTTGGCAATAACTTTCCAGTCATCTGTTCCATTCTGTTCCACCAGCTTCTTTAGTTTTTCATCCTAAGACATTTAAAGGTAATCCTAGGATATAGTCATTTACTGTATTACTTAGTTCAAGTTAGAGTGAACAGGGAACCAATCCAATCATCTAATCCATAAAAAGGATCTCCCCAAAGGGTCCAAATACAGCAGATATTAATGCAATACACTGGTTTAGAGCATAGGTTTACTTAAAGCCAGGCTAGAGTTTGCATGATGAATGGCCTACTGATTGGTTGTATAAGCTTGAATATATGATTTTACTTTCTGGATCTTAGTATTGTCATCTATAAAATGGGAGTGTTGATAACAGCAGGGTGATTTGGGGATTGTATGGGATAATTACATGTAAGATTTAGCATATAACTTGGCACATATTTAATGTTTAATATATGGTAACTGCTAAGAGTTTTACTTTGTTAGAGAAAAATGAATTCTAATGCTAGATTTGACATTGAACTATGGCAATAGATATGATCTTGAATAAGAAATACAACATTTCTAGTTAGTTCAACCGCTTTTGTATGAAAGAAGGAAGATCACTTTTCTGAATTAAACTTGAAGGCAGGCAAAATATAAGAAAATCATTCAATTTTAGTAGTAATATATTTGCAATTTAAACAAGTCAGACATAAAGATACCAGATGTTGTGGGCCATTGGTTTTTTCAGTTCATATACCTTTTACGGTCACAAGTGACTTTCTAAATGTGTTCTTTTTTTTTTTTGTTTCTGCAAAGGTAAGATTGACACACAATGCAGGTTTCTAGTACAATACAGATATAGGAATTAAGAAACCAAGGTTAACAACAGAACTTTTAAATCCCTAAGGTTCTTCCAAGTAAACAATTTCAATAAGTAAAATATGCCTTTTTTTCTGGGCCTTCCCACAAATTCTGTCTGCTGTCAACAGGGGCCTGGCTTAAATGAAGATGCATTGAATGTGAAGAAGAGTTAATACCATTTAGTCTAATGTGGAAACTCTAGAATCAGTTGCATAACTTTTTGAGAACATTAAAGAAAAAAAAATCTTTCCCTCACATATTAATGATCTTGCTCCAGAAGTATTTTTCCACTTCTTACAAAGATCAAGCTTTTGAATAGTAGAAAAAGAAATGTAGGAAGCAGCTAAATCTCAATCCATTCGTGCACGCTTTTAGAACACATCACATGTGTATGGCTCTGTGGAATATTACATATCAAGCACATTAAATGAGCCCATGGAAACAAGATGAGTTCTATGAGTGCTTTGTTCTGGTCTGGCAAATAGCAACTCATTCATTTATTCAGGGAACATTTATTTTTGTCCTATTTGTGTCAAGCAATTCTGGATTTAGAGACAGAGATGAAGACACATTTAGCCTTGCACCTGAGAGACTAGCTGTCTACTGCGGGGAGGCAACAGTAATGTAGGGTATGGGACCATGGGAGGATGCAACCAACCCTGTCTGGGGAGCCAGGGTTGGTTTCACAGAAGAGGTGATATCTTCAGAGGTAATGAGGATGTAGTAAGAAGTGGTAGGCAAAAGAATGAGAACTCAGGCAGAGGGAAACACAGATGAAGCATAAAGTGAGAAGGATAGGACACTCAAAGAGCTATGAAAAGTTTGGAAATGGATGGTAGGGAAGAG